ACAAAAATGTCCTGTTTGCTTACAGTGACACCTCTGAAACCTTTGGGCAGCTTCCCTGAGGCAAAGAGAAGTACAAAGAATGCATTTTATTGATCCTGCTCTGTTAAAAGTTCACCAACTGGCTCCACTTCCATGGACAGGAGCTGTAGGTTAATCCATTATGGAGGGAAAGGCCTGGAATCCAGTTCTGGAAAACTGACTGGCAGAGATGAAACAGAACCAGGCAGGATCAGAGGAGGCAGGGCTGCATCCAGGTCCTGATGGGCTGCTCATGACTGAGGACCAACCCACAGCTGGGGAAATTTATTCTGGAAACCACTGATGGAAACCAGGGAATTTTATACAGGTAATTCTCAATGGAAGAACAGTGCTCAGCACCAGTAAAAATATGAATTGTCAAGGAATTAAATGATAATAAAGAAGAGAAAACCCCAAATTCCATGTTCATTTTGGTCAGAAAGCACATGGAATTAGCAATATAACATGTTGCAAAGGCATTTCAGTTAGTGAAAGGGAACAATCCACTGACAATTCCCAGCTGCTGTTCCAGAACCTGGGATTCCTAAAGTCTGACTGTGGCACAGGCACTCCCACGGATTAAAACTCTTTACAATATTTGCAGTCTGTGTGTGGCTCCCAAAAAACCCACAATACTTGCCAGTTCACTCAACAGCTGAATGTTCTTTTGAGGTTTTTTAAAATTATTTCACAACCCAGAAGGGAAATGGAAAGGAAGTTTCTTGTTGATAACACGTGGCAAGCAGCAAAGGGAACCAAAGGGAAGCAAACAAGACAGAGCAAGGGGGCTACAGGAGTTTAAAGACAGACAAAACAGGTTTGCACTGAAACTTCACAGAAATGTGAAGAACTGGCAGAATTATAAATAGGAGGTTGCTTGGTACAGGGAATCCAAATTGCTGCTCTGCTGCATGTCTGTCATTTCACATTTGGTTCTTCCTGAACCCAGAATAAAAGTGTTCACAGCACAATTTCAGTGCCATGCTGCTTTGGTTTTTATAAAATGCCACCTTCCACAGGCCAGTTTAAAAGAATATTAGATTTCTAATCCAGAGTTTTCAGCCCCAGTAATCCTGCTGTCAATCAACTGTAAACCTTTTAACAACTGCATTACAACACGTGCAGATTTAATCTGCAGTTATTTTTCTCAAGTTAGTCCATGAACTGAACTAAGGGAAGGGTTATGTGTGCTGCGTCGCTTTAAAAGCATCCTAGCTGCAGGAAATGAAAATAATATGGACCGAACAAATGAATGAACCTTGAAATTTAGATTGGTTCTCAAAATTATCACAGAAACCCCCAAAATAATGTCGTTTCAATTAATGGAGAAAAAGGCAAAAAATAAATAGACCCTGCGTAGATATCATGGTCTCTGCAGAAAATGCAGCACAGCTGTAAGACCAGAGAAGAAACTCAAGGATTAAAAATAAAATACCAACATCTGAATACAGCCTCACTTCTTTTCGCTATGAATACACTTAAAAACCTCCAAAAAAAAAACCTCAATAAAAATAGGGCCAGGGTTGTTTATTTGCTTTGACCGTGACCACTAAACAGCGTGGACAGCACAAACCCGGCCTGGCCCCTCGGAACCCTTCGGCCCCTTCTCCCCCCCGCGGCTCGGGGGTCGCAGCGGTGACACGGCCCCGCGTGGGTCGGGACCTCCGGGGCCGCTCAGGGCCCCGTGAGGAGCCTGGCCGGGGAGCGCAGCCCCGGCGGCGGCCGCGGAGCTTCCCCCCGTGCCGAGTCCGGCCCGGAGCCGCTCGATCCCCGCGCTGCCGCCCGGGCCGCGCCGCCGCGGCCTCTTC